GTTACTATGGAAGCTTGTTTCCGCCACAGAATAAAAAAGGTAACGGTGACTTTTTAATTCAAGATCACTTTTCACTTTTTTCAATTTTGAATTTGCATCTCGCAAATATTGCTTGATATAAACTCGCAATTACATGTTATAAAGTCAGAATTGCGAGTTATAAAATAAGAATCGTGAGCTATATCTCACAATTGTGAGAAAAAAAAGTACGAATTGCGAGTTTATATCTTGCAATTGTGAGAAAAAAAGTCTGAATTGTGAGATAAAAAGTTGCAATTATCTTTAAAAAAAAATGGCGGAAACAAGCTTCCATAGATTACTGATATAGTTCTGAGGAAAAACACATTTACACAGAAATACTCACACACACTTCTCTCTAAAAACGTGTTCAGGCAGAAGGTACGGAGCATCAAGATTTCTCATCTCAATCACCTGACAGGAAAAAAAGGAGTTACAGAAATTTGTATGTAGGGTGTATGTGTATGTGTGTGTGTGCCATAAGTGTATGCATTTACCTTGCTGACGTGTTGGCAAAAAAGGGGAATTGCAACCATCTGACTGAGGAAATTGAGATATGCGGCGACCAACGCCATGACGCCACAGCGAATAAACATGGGCATATTCTCCTCATTGACCAGGGCCATGTCCTTCAGCCAATCAAAACACAGAGATTAGCATAACAAATCTGAAATCTCAGATTAATTGCTTCTGGTACGTCGCTTCGGATTCAAGCATCTGCTAAATCTATAAATGTAATCGTAGGTGAGAATACCTGTAGTGCGATGGATAGGCGGATGAGGTCAATCACCACCTCTTCATTGGCCAGTTCAATAGTGATCAGAGCCAGAGCTGTGAAGAGCAGCTCAAAGTTCTTCTGCACGTTATCTTCCTCCTTACAGCCCAGATAGATGTGTCTGTATAACTGCTGCCCATGCTGGAGGGTGAAAGAGCAACAGTTTAAGGGCTGAGGTTCTACATGTGTGTGGTTGTGATGTCTGTGTGCATTTGTATCTTGTACCTTTTTCATGAAAACCACATCCTGTTTGGAGATTTTTTCTCTTTTGAACTTCAGAGCAGCTACATTAGGAATAATCCTGCGTACACACACACACTCAATTTTATTTAATTGAAATAAAAATATATATATATTAAATGAAAAACTGAAACTTAAAATAATTTAATAATAAACTGTAAAAAGATATCTATTCTATAACAAAATAACCCATTTAGATTGAAAAATACTAATAAAGGGTTGCTAAGAATTGTGTAAGTGAAGATGCACTGTAGTTCTGCTCAGTTTCAATCAGGCTTTACAAATCACACATAAAAGAATAAAACAGTTCTGTCAAATTGAACAAATGCATTTACAGCATTATAGTAAGTGAAACGCTGATGAAAGTGGATTGGAACGAGCACCACAACACACTTGTAGCCAATCAGCAGTAAGGGGCGTGTCCACTCATGATGGGGGAGGGGAGAGCGAGCAAGAGGGAGATTTGAAGATAGACTGTAGAAAGAGAGATGGCTGAGAGACATTACAAAAGAGAAAAGCTCAGAGGAATATCAGTGGAAAAAGAAGGGTTATCATCAGGCAAGAGCTTTAGGACCGGCTTTAATTAGAAAAGCTTTCCAGCGCTGAAAAGATAAAAGCTGGAAGGCCTGAAAACAGATGCAGAGGTTGTGTTGTTTCTGCTCCATACGTGAGTAACACTGGTATGCTGTTTCACAGAACCAAGATATGCTGTTGTTGTAATGTTAGCTATAGTAACAGGACAGTTTTGAGTGTCACTGAAGCATTATTTTGATTTTCAAATATCAAGTGTTTCTCAGAAATCACTTACTGCACCTTTAAATTATTAAGGTGTTAAATTATTCAATTTAATCACAGGCGTTAGCACATTGACTTTTGACACCCCTAGTTTTCACACTTTCACTTAAGGGTGTTAGTTGAGCATCCATACCGGATTCCCCTGAGCTTGGCTCTGTTGTCATGGCGATCGATGATGTTGTGCAGAATCTCCAAGACGAGTTGCCGGAGTTCGCTGTCTTCCATCAGAGAGATGGAGCACAACGGCTCCAGAAATGCTGCAGGCAGGCCAGCACAGATCGTTTTACACTTAAACCCCGACGTAACCTACACAAACAAAGAATCCATCAGATATGACCAGCACCCCCAGAACTAGAACCTATACACACCAGTAACTAGTAACACATTGTCACACTTCTGGAAATGGCCAGCAGTGGGAGATGGAGAGCAAAAGCTGTTGACATCCAAAATAACAATCATACGCCTCAACCTGCGGCCCATTTTACTGCCTGTTGCCGGGCAACGGTGCCTGAAAAGTTGCCCTGTCGAAAGCCAGCCATAAACCAGACTAAAGACAAAATTGGACATTACAAAAAAAGAAGAAAAAGGACACAAAGCACCACAGGCAGCTGTAATCTGATGTTATGATCTGTGTGTAGTCTGCTGTCTAGGAACCTTCAGAAACTCCCTTAAGGAGAGTGTGGATGGTTTTTACTAACAAACTCAGACACAATGTAAGTCTAAAATCTTCATTCTGATGTTATGCCTGATACAAGCCTGAGGATTTGCTTACATTAGCGAAATAACATTTTGGGGAAATCTTTCATCCTCATGCAAAATTCATAATAGCATGGATTCCTATTAAAATTACTGGATTTCACGGAGCAATGGTAAAGCAACTGCAATTTTAGTTTCCCTATATCGTTACTACCTTACAGTACACACATGTTGGGATTCGATGTTTTATGGGGACTTTCCATAGACTCCATGATTTTTATACTGTACAAACTGTATAATCTATCCTCTAACCCTAAACACAACGCTCACAGAAAACTTCCTGCATTTTTTCATTTTCAAAACATAATTTAATATGATTTACAAGCTGCTTTACTCATGGGGACCAAAAAATGTCCCCACAAGGCCAAAGATTTCTGGTATTACTATCCTTGTGGAGACATTTTGTCCCCTTAAAGTAGGGTTTTACAAGGACCACACACACACACACAAAAGATTAGAGATTTACCATAATGAGAGAACTTAACAGCATCATCTGGATTCTCTTAGTGCCCTGATGCCTGAGAAAGGAAGAGGAGAGAATTCAAAATCCTCAATATGAATACTTCACTGTAGTGGTAAACTAATTTTTTAGTTGTAAACCTACATACTTCAGCAATGCCAGCACAATACATACTTTTTGAAATATGCAACTTGGGAAAATAAAATACAAATAAAGAGCATAAATAGTAAAAGTATATGCAAAAACAAGACATTTCAGTGGTCGGTAGCAACATTAATAAAATTGAAATCCGAGACCACAGCAACATTTAACATACTCATTAATTAAAGCTGCAGTCCGCAGTTTTTCCTCTTTGTCGCCATCTCTGTTCGAAATCTGCAATTGCAGTTATTCGCGGAATTATCAACTTTACTTGAGTTGTACTTCGACACGGCACAGTGCGGATGAACACAATGTTTGAGGAGAGAGTGCAGCTGTCAGTCACCGCGCCGGTGTGGATACTGGCATTATTCTTTTTAGAAAGTATGACCAACATAAGAATTTTCACCGGAAAATGTCATCTGAACAAGTAAGTAACATCCACTTTTGTTCTGGTTCTGACATTGCAGTAAATCGCGCTGATTAAATCTAACAATCGCTTATCATATCACGCAAAAACGTGCAAATTATACTTTGCTGACGTTGTTAACATTAACAATTTGAGAACATTGCGTGACTACATGTAATGTCCTTCCAATATGTAACGTTATCCTTGTTTTCGCATGGGATCGGTTGCAGCCTCTTTTTTTCTGTAGCCACTCCGAAGTCCGAACGAAGTCTTTTGCATTTTACAGCGGGTGAATCTCTAGTTGTCACTGGTGATTGTCGTTTGAACCTTTCTGGATCCGCCATCAAATTGATAAGTTTAATTATATCAAGTGCTGTGAGAAAAGGCTATAAATCTCCACCTCCAGCATCCTCACACACAATATAGCCTACTAGCCGAGACTCCTTTATGTGTACAGATGTGTGTGTACAGATGTGACGTAATGACGCAAAGACATGTTTGACTCTCTAGCGGAAATCCACTAGTACCACTGGAATTAAAAACATTATTACAAGCTTACCGCTTTGAATCGAGCTACGGCAAGCAGATAGTTTTGAACACTGGCTGGTTATGTATTTTCTCAAATATGTATTTTGGATAATTTTTAACCCCAAAAAAGCTACGGACAGCAGCTTTTAAAAAGAAATTAATTAATTAAATATTATAAAAAAATATTAACAGATATTATTAAATTAGATAATTAGTGCCAGAAACGGCATTTTTAAAAGTGCTAAATGATCTCCTCCTGGCTTCTGATTCTGGTGCCCATAGTATTCTGGTTCTTCTTGATCTCAGTGCAGCAAGATAGGTGAGAATCGGTCCCATACCGTCACTATTTCTCATGGTGTTCCTCAAGGTTCTGTACTTGGTCCTCTTTTATTTCTCATTTATGTGCTGCCACTAAGTCAGATCATCAGACGGCATGGTCTCAATTTTCAGTTACGCTGATGATATTCAAATTTATTTCACGGTTAAACCCAACCCACTTTGTTCACCCACTTCTGTTGTCTCTTGCCTTCAGGAACTTAAAACATGGATGTCCAATAACTTCCTACAGCTTAATGCTGGGAAAACTGAAATCCTGTTGATTGGCCCTAAATCACAGAGCTTACCCAGGCATGACTTTTTCATTGATATTGATGGTGTCCAGATTAGGCCTTCAAAAACTGTGTGGAATCTGGGAGTTTTGTTCGATCCCTCGTTATGTTTTCACTCACACATCAGTCAGGTTGTTAAATCGTGCTTCTTTCACTTGCAGAATATTGTTCCCATACGCCCCTCTCTTAACTTTGGAGATGCGGAAACTGTTATACATGCTTTTATAACCTCCAGATTGGACTACTGTAACTCCCTAAATAGCGGCCTACCCACCAACGCTATACATCGCCTTCAAATGGTACAAAACTCTGCTGCTCGAGCCCTTACATCTAACAAAAAAACTGCACATATCACTCCTATCCTTTCCCAACTTCACTGGCTTCCTGTGGTCAATCGCATCCAGTTTAAACTGTTAATCTTAGTTTATAAAGCCTGTCATGGCCCTGCACCTAAATATCTCGCTGAGTTAGTGCAACCATATGTTCCTGCTCGGACCCTCAGATCCAGCAATGATAATCTGCTTGTTGTGCCCAGGTATAAACTATCTACTGTGGGTGGAAGGGCTTTTAGTGTTGTCGGCCCTAAGCTGTGGAATAAGCTGCCATCTGATCTTCGTGCCACCCCTAACCTACAGACCTTCAAATCTCAGCTTAAAACCAGCTTAAAATATTCACCATGCTCAGTAAATAACTGTTTTTCATTCTATCTCTCTGTCCTCCACTTTTTCACTTCTTTGTTACATGCTTTCTCTATCAAAATGTATGTTTTCTTTGCCTCTAATCTATTCATTATTGTTGTCTCCATCTGCTTTTCTGCTTGTTTAATTGTTATAACTAGCAGATTGCCTGTCTCTTGTCTGTCAACTGTTTGTATTATTTTGTGAAGCGACCTTGGGTTCTTGAAAGGCGCTATAAAAATAAACATATTATTATTATATTATTATTAGATAAATAAACTATGGCATATACCCTTCTCTCTGGCAGCTATTTCAGTCATACAAGTTCAGCTCCTGTCTCTTTGAATGGGGAAACAAGCTTTTCACCAAGCTTAAGATTAAATTCCAAAATTTTAAGACCCCCAATGAAATCTCACAACAATGTTCTCATAAATTTAGTTTCTAAATGCTCAAATCATGACAAAAAACTGATCAAACGGCAGCTGCAGTGACGCAATGACTTAACCAGTTTTTATTTAGAAAGCAGGACTTATTCCGGCATATTGGGCTTTGCACTTTCTCCCATTTATAGTAATATGAGTGCACCTATCTAAAGTCTTGGACATTACTTAAAGTCATTCAAGACAAGTAAACTGTAATGCTGTACAATAAACAACAAAAAAGGAATAGTACAAATAAAAACAACTAAACAAGGACAAAAATGAAATAAACAGTGCTTGAAGTTCTTCAGATCTGTAACAGCAATACTTTATCCTGCCTTTTTATACTCACTGAAGACAAACTTTGCATGTTGCAAATGTGCATGTGTCAGTTTAGCAATCTGCAATTATCATGGATTTAAGAAACTTTCTCCAAACACTACTACTGCCGATAATGACAAATGTAGAATCACACTGTCCTACCCGATCTTGACGGTGTCCAGCGTGTGGCACGGCGTGCCGTAAACAGGCACTTTCCCCATAATGAACATCATCACTTCTGCTCTCTGATAATCAGGAAGATTTCCTCCAAAGAAACCTAGACACACACATGAATCCATTTTATTGAATTTGTTCAGTGTTTGGGCATCACAAAAGGTCAGATCTTAGTGAGCACATGAAGCTGTCACCGATTGTTTGGATGATGGCGTTCTGGACGATCCGCTCCTCGCTCTCTTTGGTGCGGGTGGAGGAAAGGCTACTCGCGGAGTTCCTGCGGGAACCGTCGCCCAGCTCAAAATCCACACTCATACGCAGATGCTTCAGCAGGGTGTTAAACACCTCCAGGACCGTGGGACCTGAGAATACACACACAGCACAAAAGTAATTATGCAGAATTATGCTGATTTTGCTTCAAGCAAGCACAGAGGATGTCACACTCAAAATGTCACAGATGTCTGTGCCAACTTAAGCACTATATGATATAAAAAAAAAAATGTAAAAAAAAACAATCACAGCGTGTGACTCAGACTAGACACAGGAACTACAGAGCACTGCTAGGGGGAGCTGCAGTTACTCTACACAGCAAACCCATAAAACCTTCAGCCACTCAGCAAATACACATCCTTAAAGGGAAAGTTCACCCAAAAATAAAAATTCTGTCAATAATTACTCACCTCCCTCCATGACGTTCCAAACCTGAAAGACTTTCGTTCATCTTTGGAACACAAATGAAGATCTTTTTGATGAAATCTGAGAGATTTCTGTCTCTCCTTTGACAGCTGCACAACTGAAACTTTGACGCTTCAAGAGATCGTAAAACTAATCTAAATGAATTGAGCGGTTTAGTCCAAATTTTCTGAACACTCTATAGCTTTATATAATGAACAGATTGAATTTAGGCTTTTATTAACATATAAACATTCATCAACGCACACATCAGCTGTGGTAAACGGAAGCTCAAGCATGTTCGCTTGACGTGTGAGAACCAATGAGGTTCATTCTTGTTACGCAGCGCGTTTGAGCTTCTGCAAGAGGTTTGTTCTTGTGCATCAAGCAGCTTCTGTTTATGTTCGCTGATCAATGTTTATATGTGAATAAAAGCCTAAATTCAATCCGTTCATCATTTAAAGTGACCGAGTCTCTTCATAAAATTTGGACTAAACCGCTCAATTCATATGGATTAGTTTTACAATCTTTTTATGAACTTTTTGAAGCTTCAAAGTGGTAGTTGCGTAGCTGTCAATGGAAAGCTCTCATTTGATCTTCATTTGTGTTCTGAAGATGAACGAAAGTCTTACAGGTTTGAACTATCCCTTAAATAATCAATTCACCATCAATACCATATGACGGGACCCTAAACAGTTCACTAGTTCACCATATACGTGCCCAATTTAGTGACTGCCTGAAGGTTTTGATTGGGTGAGAACTGTGCTTGTTAACATACCCAACCACAGATTGGGTGGTGAAGAGATGGGACTGAGAAACGTGTAAGCATTGTGTTGAATAGGAGCAATATGACCTGTGAGAGAAAACAGATTTCAGGAAGGAGAGATGGAATAAAGACAAAAGACAACGAGGAATGAACACCAGGAGAGATTATGAGAGGAAAAGGGAAATGTGAGTGTTCGTTTGGTATTTTTTGGCATCTGTTTGTAGTTGTAGTGACTGACACATAAGCAAAAGAACAAACAGAATAACAAAATAATTATCTGAATAATGATAATAATCAGAGTAAATCAATGACAGGTTGAGTTTTACACTCTAAAGTTTGGGCTTTTTTTAATGAATACTACTTATTCAGCAAAGACATTTTTAATACTAAAAAATAATGCTGTTTTTAATGCAATTTCATTGAGAAAATTGTATCATGGTTTCCACAAAAATATGAAGCAGCACAACTGTTAGTTTTTTTAACATTGATAATAAAACATTTCTTAAGCAACAAATCAGCATATTACAATAATTTCTGAAGGATCATGTGACACTGAAGACAAAAATTCAGCTTTGCATCACAGGAATAACTTGCATTTAAAAAATATAGTTTATTTATATCATAACATTTTACAATATTACTGTTTTACGGTATTTTTGATCAAATAAAGATAGCCTTGGTGAGCATAAGATGCTTCTTTTATAAACATCCTTCTTTTCCTTTTTGGTGAGCAGAAGAGACTTCCTTTAAAAATGTAACCAACCCTAAACCTTTGAATATTAGAGTAAATATAACAAATGTAAAAGTAGATTTTTTTTTTTTTATCCAAGCTGCTAGGATGATTACTTACTAAGTCAAAACATACAAATCCCATGATATGCAAGTCCTCCGTTTGTGTATATTTAAGTCTTATCGCTCAGACTAATTCATCTCACCTCAAAAAGCCACACAATTTGAGTAACTATCAATGTTCGTAACACAAACCACGCAAGATGGGTTACGTGCCAAAGCTGAATACTTATGGTTAATGCTACTACTACATAATACTTATGGTTGATACTAATGGTTTGTAAACCACACACACAAAGTACGAGAAATAACAATCAAAATGCTCATCTTAGGGTACGTTTACACGACAACGATGTAATAAAAACCTTTGTGTTTTTCGTGTACTGACGACATCATTGTCAAAATGATCCCCATTCACATGGATCCACGAAAACGACTAAAAACGTTGTATTATGCTGTCAGTTGGGCGATATCACTTTGTAAAGAAACACTATGCACCCTATAGACTGAACAGGCCCCCAAAACGCCATTGTCAGTTAAATGAACAGCCAAAACGCATAAAAAGTTTTACGTTAGTTGAAAGCGGTGTCGTGTAAACGGCCCCTTAGATGGTCAATACTCAGTCTTACCGATGGAGCCCTTGGCTGCTATGGCAACCGTCTCCAGCAGCACCTGAACGATACCTGCCCTCACACGTGGGGTGTTCTTACTGTGGGTGTCAAGGTGAGACAACACTTGCTGGATCACGTGGTGAGAATGCTGGGCCTGAAACACACACAAACACTTCATAAAACATACTGTACAAGTGAATTTAATTTACTCTCCATTATAATTAAACGCTTCAACGGCCACACAGGATTAACACAAAGAGATGGAGTGAGAATATGTTCACCTTACCTGTATTGAGTACATGATTATCCTGAAACAGGAAACAGCAAAATCGTTCGGGTCCCAAAGACGATGGTTGTCTAAATGCCTGTAGGAAAACAATGCTGTGAATTACAGTACGCCCTCTTATAAGACAGCATATTTACCTAAATAGTCGTTTTTGACAACTTTTTGACATGCATCCCTTTTTCCTGTGTTTATCAAATATTTAGAATAATATGATAACCAAAACTGTTGAAGTGGGCTCAGTTCTGTTAAGCAAATTTGCCACATTTAAAAATCCGCAGAATTGAGCCTTTGCTAAGCCTTGCCGTAAAAATGGTCCTACGTTAGCACCCGTTGCAATACACAAAGGATGCTTTTGCTCTTTCATAAAGTAAGTCTTTGGAGGATCTGTGAGACGTTTTTTTTTATTTGACATTATGGGAATTATCCAAAGAAATGTTAAAATGTTGTCTTTTATAATAGTGACACAAGGTACTCAGAGATAAAAGTGGTCTTTTTGCCTCCTTTTCCAGAACTTTTAATGAATCTCCCAAAAGGGGACCAAAAATACAGCTTTTTTCCTCTACTGCAATTAGATTAAACATTGTCACCCCTGAATTTAGATTCAGTCTCCGCCATTTTTAATCATGCTACTGTGTAATTGGACAATTTCTTGAAAGAAAAGCAGTAGATAAAAAGCTCTGCAATGTCCCAATTTTTTCCAGCCCATTTAAGAATAATATCCAAACAACTTTTAGCACTTTTTCACAACGTTTACAAAAATCTCCGGCTGTTCTATAAAGCTTGCCTGAGTTTAATACTTGTGGGTAGAAGTTTTGGATTTTTTTATAAATAAATCAATGGTCACCAGCACCAGCATATTTTGATGCAGAAAAAAGTCATACAGGTTTGAAAGTCAAATGGCCAATTTCTATTTTTTAATGGAACGTTGCAGTTTATTATAATTGCTTCATCTGTGCATATCATTTTTGTTTGAATTAATTCTCTTCTCTTCGCATCTGAAATCGCATACTCTCTTGAGTAGGTACATGTTTTGAACAAGTACTTACTTTGTAAGCACTAAAAAAAGAATGTTCTATATAGTATGAATGTGTGTAATATGAATGTAATCCGGACATACTACATTCGTCATGTTGTCATTATCACAACCTATATAGTAGGGAAGTATGTGATTTCAGATGCAGCCAACGTGTTTACTAGCACTCACTCACATGAGATTAGAAATAGCAAACCACAACGATCCAATCAATTACCGCTGGACAAAATCAAGTCCTGCTACTCTACATTTTTTCTTGTTCGAGGAGCTCTTTCCCTAAGATATACACTCACCGGCCACTTTATTAGGTACACCTGTCCAACTGCTCGTTAACACTTAATTTCTAAGCAGCCAATCACATGGCGGCAACTCAGTGCATTTAGGCATGTAGACATGGTCAAGACAATCTCCTGCAGTTCAAACCGAGCATCAGTATGGGGAAGAAAGGTGATTTGAGTGACTTTGAACGTGGCATGATTGTTGGTGCCAGAAGGGCTGGTCTGAGTATTTCAGAAACTGCTAATCTACTGGGATTTTCACGCACAACCATCTCTAGGGTTTACAGAGAATGGTCCGAAAAAGAAAAAACATCCAGTGAGCGGCAGTTCTGTGGGCGGAAATGCCTTGTTGATGCCAGAGGTCAGAGGAGAATGGCCAGACTGGTTCGAGCTGATAGAAGGGCAACAGTGACTGAAATAACCACTCGTTACAACCGAGGTATGCAGCAAAGCATTTGTGAAGCCACAACACGCACAACCTTGAGGCGGATGGGCTACAACAGCAGAAGACTCCACCGGGTACCACTCATCTCCACTACAAATAGGAAAAAGAGGCTACAATTTGCAAGAGCTCACCAAAATTGAACAGTTGAAGACTGGAAAAATGTTGCCTGGTCTGATGAGTCTCGATTTCTGTTGAGACATTCAGATGTTAGAGTCAGAATTTGGCGTAAACAGAATGAGAACATGGAACCATCATGCCTTGTTACCACTGTGCAGGCTGGTGGTGGTGGTGTAATGGTGTGGGGGATGTTTTCCTGGCACACTTTAGGCCCCTTAGTGCCAATTGGGCATCGTTTAAATGCCACGGCCTACCTGAGCATTGTTTCTGACCATGTCCATCCCTTTATGGCCACCATGTACCCATCCTCTGATGGCTACTTCCACCATGTCACAAAGCTCTAATCATTTCAAATTGGTTTCTTGAACATGACAATGAGTTCACTGTACTAAAATGGCCTCCACAGTCACCAGATCTCAACCCAATAGAGCATCTTTGGGATGTGGTGGAACGGGAGATTCGCATCATGGATGTGCAGCCGACAAATCTGCGGCAACTGTGTGATGCCATCATGTCAATATGGACCAAACTCCCTGAGGAATGCTTCCAGCACCTTGTTGAATCTATGCCACGAAGAATTGAGGCAGTTCTGAAGGCAAAAGGGGGTCCAACCCGTTACTAGCATGGGGTACCTATTAAAGTGGCCGGTGAGTGTATGTCACAATAGGGAAGAAAAGGCTATCGCAACTTCTGTTTCACGCCGACTTTAAAGGCTCAAGTGGAAGTCTGCAGACAACTATGTGTAATACAGCTATTTGGAGTCGGTTCTGTCACTGGTGTCTGTCATATCGAGCACAGTGGTTCCATTCAACAGCAGCTGTGATGCGGAAAACCTGAGCATTCCTGCGCCGCAACACAAATCATGTTTCCACACCTTTATCTCTCCTCTTTTCCGCAGTCTGATCTAACTCTAAAACCTCTATGCCACCATCCTCTCCCTTCCTGCTGTCGCCATGGTAACGTCAATCTGATCTCACCCCCCATCCGATGAGAGCTATTTTTGGAACGCCTGAAATCCCCTTCCACCCAAAAAAAAAAGAGAAAGCTCTCGCTGTACGTCTCCGCGAACACCAGCCGTACGTGTTATCAGAGGTACAGATAACTACCCTGGAGCTCAACGTTCCCTCAAAACCTCACACAAGTTTAATAAATACAGAGCACACAGCGAAACAGTTTAATAAGGAGAGAGGGAGAGAGTTAGAGAAAGAGCGAGACACGAGAGACGATGGAGAAGGTGAGGGAGTGTGATAGAGAAAGAGACGTGCTCGAGAGCCCCTCGGCGCTTTGATATTCTCTTTTTACAGACATCTCACTCAGCGCTAATTGGCCAATGACTGAGATGAGCCAAAACGGTCTCATTAATGAGCTCTTAGAGTGTCTGCACACACACTGCATACGGCTGCATGTGTCTGAATTGTGTGCTAATAAGCTACAGATGGAGACCAGGTCAGGGCAGTCAAACCGAGAGCTGCTCATTTACACACGACGCCAAAGTCGTCAGATCTGAATCTAAAGTTTCACCTTCAGCCTCCGTTAAACTCACCGCAGACATACACGTTTACAGACCTATAGTAGAACATTTAGTCTTTAACTTAAAAAAAACGTAATGTGGCTTTTTTCCATTTCATCATCAATTTAGAATGTACACTACTGTTCAAAATATTGGATTCATTTATTAATTGTAAGATTTTTATTATGTTCTTGAAAGAAGCTATGCTCACCAAAGCTGCATTTATTTGATCAAAAATGCTGTAAAAATAGCAATAATGTTGTGAAATATTTTTACAATTTAAAAGAACTGTTCTTTTTTTTAAATATTTTAAAATGTCATTTATTCCTGTGATGCAAAGCTGAATATTCAGCATCCTTACAGTCTCACATGATCCTTCAGAAATCATTCTAATATGCTGATTTGCTGGTCTATTATTATCAATTTTTACTGGTGTTCAAATATTAAGAATGGTTCTTATTATTAGCAATGTTGAAAATAGTTTTTGCTGCTTAACATTTTTGTGGAAACCATGATACATTCACCATTTATTTGAAACATCAATGAAAATCAAAAATCATTCATTTTCTTACCCCAAACTTTTTAATGGTAGGGTATCACGGTTAATGTTAAAATATTAAGCAGCACAACAGTTTTCAACATTGATAATAATAATAAATGTTTCTTGAGCAGCAAATCAGCATTTTAGAATGATTTCTGAAGGATCATGTGACACTGAAGACTGGAGTAAATTAATTTCTCCATCAGAAAAATAAATTAAATTTGAAAATATGTTAAAATAGAAAAGAGTTTCAATATTACTTTGTACAGCTCAAATATAAACAGTTTATTTCAATACTTAAATCACATTTCAGTGCATTATAAAACCTTTTTTTTGTGTGGTTTTATTGCATCAAGCTCTGCGTCATAATGTAATAGTTATCATTAGACCATTCCCTCGCTTATAAAATGACCTGGAAATGACTTCAATGTTCCTCTAGACTTGCCTGGATGTGCGCTGCATGAAACAGGGGAACATTAGTGCTAATGGAGGAAAAAAACAGCTCTAATATGATATATGAGATATTCAAGTAATAAGCCACAAGAGGACAAGCTACAGATATTGTTAAGCATACAAAACGGGTAATGAATATAACAGAAATTTCAGCTACAGGTTTCTTTTGATAACGAGATCTATTAATTTATCATATATAGTTGTATTTCAATATTTAATACTGCTGAACTAATTCTAGCTGCATTAGAATAACCAATACTGCATTGCATTCATTGTGTACTGCCTACTTATGTAATACAGACGGTTTTTGTTGCTTGTCCAATTTAATTAAAATGAGCAGATACGATTGTTGCACATTTTATCATGCATGTAATTAATTTACATTTATAAAATGAAAGTTTGCTTAATCCATTTGCATTGAGATGAACAATTTTCACTGCCATAAGGGGATGTACATAAATCTAGTTCGACTGACCGACACTGGAAAATGATGCGTGGTTTTTAATCTAACATCATCCGACCATGTAGCTTACTTCATTCTGCTAGATTAAAATATGGTTATTTCCTTAATTATTTTTGTATGGCAGGAAAAAAAAAATCAATAGCTAATATTTGCCTATTTATAAATATCCAAAATCAAAATGTGTAACATCATTATGCAGTTATAATAAATATAATAAAGCTAAATAATAAAGTAATTGA